GAGAGATATAGGTCTAGTTTTAATCTTTGGCAAGTTGAAGCCCAATTTTTCCAGCACCATTTATTAAAGAGACTATCTTTCCTCCAGTGAGGGTGTTTGGCTCCTTCATCGAAGATGAAATGGCTGAGTGTGTCTGGCATTGTTTCTGCATGGAAAGATGCCTTTTTGAGTGCAGAAGGCCAGTTTCTTTTCATTCCTGCCTTCATCTTCCTCTCCCTTTCCAAGGACCCAGTGCCCCTCCTGGACCCCAGCCCCTCACCTGGAACAGACAAAGGCCTTGGGAGAGCCCAGCACTCATCACTGCTCCAGCTTGGGCCACAGAGGGAGGTGAGCCGGGACTCTTCCTGGCACTGGCTTGGCAGGAAGATCCCTTCGCCCAAGGCCAGCTCCCTGGGCAGCAGCTCCGTGGGACTTTCCTGGGGACAGAGTGCCACAGGAACAGTCCTTAGGCACAGGAGGCTTCTAGCTGTTCCTCAGGATGGCCCACACAGGCTCCTGGCAGCCCATTTGGCTTGCAAACAGGAAAAATGCCACTGCTGTGATTCAGGGCTATGCAGACACTGGAAAGATGTCTTTGTTCCCTCCACTGGGCCCCTCTCCTCCCTGACCCCACACTCCAACACACACACACTCACCACACCGTCGAGATTCATGATGAACCGGCCATATCAGTACCACCTCAAACCCAGGACAGCCTGCTGCAGCCCCACAAGGCTTGGCAAAGGGTTGGAGTCTTGGAAACCCTTTCTGTGCCACTCCCACCCACTGAGGGCTGAAACAGAGACCCGGGCTGCGACTTCCAAGGGAAGAAGAACTTCACGGGTCGCTCCAACCAAACACTGGGGTGAAGTGGCCAGAGGGGGACCTGCCAGGCCAAACTCTGCCTCAATTCTGCACCCCTGAAGCCCCTGGGTACCTGCTCATATTCTTACCCTCTCACAACCTCTCAGTTGGACAGGAACAAGGCATCTTATCCCGGCGAGGGGTTGAGGGTCCTTCTGAGAACTGCCCATCTCCTTAATGCATTTTTCAGGGCCTTAGTTTCTGACCTGTGAGTCATGGCACCACATAATTAGAGACAGGAAAGGCAGTGAGCCAGGTCCCAACTTGGGCCAGAGCACTCTCCTTCTAGATCACAGAGCAATCGCATCTGACAGCACTTAGAGATCATCTCAGTTACAAGGAGGAAACAGAGGCCCAGGAGGCAAAATAACCCGAGGTAAGGTCCACCAGGAGCCAGGTCTCCTGATGCCTGGTGCTGCTCAGGGGAGGGAAGGAAGGCTGAGCCTCCAGACCCCAGGAAGGTGGGAGAAGACCCTGGAAACCTGCTGAAGCCTCAAGCAGGAAGCCTCTGGGATCACAGTTAGCATTTGCACAGTTCTCAACCTCAGATTCCTGCTCCAAATACAGCAAGGATTCAAGATCCAGATCGTCCCATGCACCTGTTCCTGGAGGCTGGTGTGACCCTCCAGAGGCCCCAAAACCCAGTGCCCATCCGCCGCCCCTGAGCAACCTTACTGGTCTGCTGACACTCCGGGTTTTCCCTTCCAGCTGTCGCCCTGAATGGAGATTGCTCACAACAGCAGGAAAGAGGATGTTTGGACACCTTGAGAGCCCTCTTGAAATTCCAGGGTTCAGAATTGCAGGCTGAGCTGGGTGCTCGGTATGTTCAAGTTCACTCAGTGCAGGTGCAAGTCAGCTTCCTGTTTACGGGGGGTGAGCGGGGAGGGGGCTGAGGGAAGACTCTTGGGAGGTCACCAGAGATACATCACACGCAGAATCACAACCCCCTTGGAAAACACCAGGATTTAATAATTAAACAAAAAATAATTTGGCAAATAGATGTGGGATTTTGCTGAACTCAAAACATTTAAAAGATGCCTGACTAATTCCAGCCCTGGGTGTGGCCCGTCTGCCTTGGAAGGGCAGCGCATGGCGAGGAACAACTGGTGGCCACGTGCTTGCAACCACAAGGCCCACAGGCTTTCACAGAGGTTTTTCCTCCCGGTGAACCTCTAGGAATCAAGTTCACCTGGAGGGCGGGGTTTCCAGACACCCCAGCTTTCTGGGTGGGGCCCTTGGTTCTCTGCTTCTACACTTCCTTCCACAGCCTCCATGGGGGCTGAGTCCTGCGGAACTTTTGAAGACCTATTTTGGGTAATTCAGTCACTCTTAAAACTACAAGGCTTTTGATTTTGATTAACAAGAACAACAGAGCTATCATTGTGTGCTGGAGGCTGCTCCCCATTGTCCTGCGTTCCAAGAAAGCCCTGGGGGCACAATCCAAAATATCACAATGACTTCCAGGAAATTCCCTGCCAGCTTCTGCAGCAGGAGAGAAAGCTGCCGGTCCTTTCTGGGGCAAAGGCAACTCGCAGCAGTGCTGTGGGTCTGTGCTGGAGCCTCCCTGCCTGGGGCCTCACCCTTTCCGCTGCCAGGCAGCCAGGGACATCCCAACTGCTTCCCACACTCCCTTCCAGTGGGCCCTCTGCACTTGGGGCAAGATTTATGCCACATTTTGTTAGGCAAGTCTTGGAAAGCAGCATCACATGCTCAGATTCCTTCGCTGTATACCTACTGTATGCCAGAGAGGTCTGGTCAAATAGGACACCCTATGGACTTAAGCACAGGAGGGGGACCCACTGAAGAGCTCACCGAAAACCACCACGAGATGCTGAACGTGCAGCATGCCACCACTCCCCCATCTGTACATCATCATTCCTTCATCCAAGTGCTTACTGAAATGTGTATGAGCTTCCAGGAGCTGCTGTAACACCATGCTATGCCCCTCAGTGGCTTCAAAGAACAGGGCTGTCGTTGCTCACAGTTTTGGAGGGCAGAAGTCTGAAATCAAGGTGTGGCTCTAGGAAAGGACAGTTCTTTGCCTCTGCCAGCCCCTGGCCTTGCCAGAAATCACAGGTATTCTTTGGCTTATGGCTGCATCACTCTGCTCTCTGCATAATCATGTGGCCTCCTTCCTGTGTCCTGTGACCAAACGTCCCCCAGTCACAGACGCACATTCGGACCTCAGATTATTGGATCATCTTAAATCTGCAATGGCCCCATTTGAAAACATAGTCCCATTCTGAGGCACTGAATCTGGACTTTGGACATGGATTTTGCGAGGATGTTATCCAAGCTAGTTCAAGAACATTCCAGAAGCAAGCACTATCCCAGTCCCTATCTCCATGTTCTATTCCCTGTCTTTGCATTTCTGGTGAAGGAGATGAGTTTAAAAGGGAAGTTAATATTCCAGCACTCTCAGAGGGTGAGGCAGGAGGATCTCAAATTTGAGCCAAGCCTGGTCAATTTATGACTTAGCTAGACTCTCTCAAAAAATAAAAATAAAGAAGGGCTGGGGAAGTAGCTCAGAAGTTTAATCCTCAGTACTGGAACAACAACGACAATAAAGTAACTAAATGAACCCTAGTGGCATCAGGTGCAGAAAAGTGCTGTGGAGAAAGGTAAAACTCCTTTTCAGGCTTCAGGATGAGCGGCCGCCATTATTTAGAGGGCAGCCCAGGAAGGCCTCAGGGAGGAGGTGGCAATTATCCCCAGGATGCAGCATGACGGTCCAGGGGTCAGCCTGGAGCAGCTGGTAGGACAGGTTGAGTCAGGAGGGTTTGAGAGCCCCAAACCCTCAGAGGACAGGCTGGCCACCACCTGGGCCAGAGCAGGGCTTCTCCCTCAGTACTGAGCACTTGGGAGTTGAACTGCAGGTTAGGGGCCTCCATGGGGTCTGAAAAGGAAAGTGGCCTGGTTCGAGCTTGTGCCAGGCCCATGCTAGCCACCACAGGAAGGGTCACAGGAGGCAAGAAGGAAGCAGCAGGGCAGGCACAGGGGGACTGGAGCCCAGGACAGTGCAAGAGGCAGGGGCTGGGGATGCTGGCCTGGACATGGGTCACAGGTCACGCTGTCAGCCTTCACTACAAGGACATTGTTCTGAGCACCCACTGAATGGTGGGGCTGACAGCTGACCAGGGAGCAATAAAACTGCAGATGAACTGCTCTGTGGTCACAGTGGAACCCATGAGGAGCCCCACCTGGAGTGAGATTCAGGAAAGGGGATTTCCAAGCTGGGTTCTGGAGTCTGACTAGGAGTACCTGGGGGAGCCAAGGTAAGCAGGTCACCTGGGAGAGGTCAGCCTGTCCCCCGTTAATTCTCTGGTCTGGGAGGTTTCTGCGCCCTTGCCTGAGGACACTGGAAGCAGGTCTGCACCACCTGGATGGTGTGGGCGGGATGAAAGGGACACCCGCTGTGGTGTTGGCACCTGGCTCTGCTCTCGCTGGCAGCATGACCTCTGACCCCGCAGGAGATTGAACGGTGTCCCCTGAAATATGCGTTCATGTCTTGACCTTGGTGCTGGCAAATGTGACATTGTTTAGAAACAGTCTTTGCAGCTGTGCTTGGGTTAAGGTGGAGTCATACTGGAGAAGGGTGGCCCCAGACCTGGTGCCTGGCATCCTTAGAGAAGGAAAGAGGCCACAAGGTGAGGAACACCAAAGACTGCCAGCAGCCACTGAAGCTGGAAGAGGCAGGTAACAGTTTCTCCCTGGGAGCCTCCAGAAGGAGCCCACCCAACTGACACCTTGGTTCTGGGTTTCTGGCTGCCAGAATTAGGAGAGAATAAATGTCTGCTTCCTTAAGTCACCAAGGACTATTGCCATTGTGCCCAACAGCGCAAGCCACTAGCACAACCCGGGTACCCAGCATCATTCTGGAGTGGCCTCAGGTACCATCCTTTGAGAACATCATCATCCTGTGCTTGTCACTTGTCCTAGCTGGAGTCTCTGGAACCAGGCTACTCAAGACATGGTTAGGTGGCAGCACCATCACGGCAGGGTCTGCCCTATGGCAAGATCCATATGGGTCTCCTCTGCACAGCACAGTTTGAGATGCCCTGCTGTGGGACCCAGAGCCTGCCTGGGTGGGGACTCCAAGAATAGTCCTATATGAGAAGGGGGGGCAGGCAGAGAAAAGGTGTGCAGCTAGGCACAAGGCACCAGGATGCTGATGTCTGAGCAGGAGCTATGTCACTAAGAAAGAAAGGAAGAAAGCCTGGCCACCCATGTCTCATTTCTTGCCTTTTTTAAGCTATGAGGGGAGAGGCAGCGGCAGAATGTTGTGAATATACTAGATGCCACTAATTGCTCACTTGAAAATGGCTGATTTTCTGTTATATGAATCTCACCTTCATTTTTAAAAACTGGCCCTGTGGGATATTAACCTTTCTTGAACATCTAGGTGCTCTTTAGAACACAAATTCTCCTCACTGGATCACGACGTCTGGGGACCACTGGAGAGAGAGGAGGAAGAAAGTGGAATGCAACAAGGCACAGGATAAAACCTCTTGTTATCACAATTATCCACTCCAGAGTTCCCATGGCTTTGCAGTGCATCTGGGGAGGCTCAGATATCCAGGTGCATCCTCATCCACCAACAGCAAAGAAGTGAACCACATGAGAAAGTACAATGGAAGAAGGGAACCTCTTTATAACTGAGAGAAAACCTCTGCATACAAGGCCACTTGTGGACCATCAGGATATTGTTTATCATTCAAGTCCCAGTGACTTGAGTAGGAATGCAGCTCAGAGGTTATCCACATGGCCCTAAATCAAAGACAAAAAAGGGGAGCCTGAAGGAGGATTGGAGTGGGAGTAGAGGCAGGATGCCTACAGATGTGAAGAAATTCTCTACAGTAGACAAGGCAAACAACATAGACTTGAGGTGGACCCCTTGGTTCAGGTCCCCAGCCTGCCGCATCCTGTTGGGGACCCAAATCAAATCACTTAGTCTTTCTGAGCCTCAGTTTTATCTGTAAGGCAGAAATGATCTCCACCTATGTGGAGCTGTAACTTCAAATTCTGTATCCTGTAGGTAAAGTTTCTAGGAAAATTAGTAGCTCACAATAAAAAATTATAAGACATCAGAATAGAACCCAGTAGAAATGGCAAACAACAGAATCAAACACATAGACTTCAATATTGAAGTGATCAAGCATAAGAAATAATAATATATTTGGGCCGGGGATTTAGCTCAATGATGCCACCTGCCTCGCAAGAGCAAGGTCCTGAGTTCGATCCCTGGTGCCAAAAAAGAAAAAAAAAAAAAAGAAAAAGAAAGAAAGAATAATACATTTAATATGTTTAAAGAAATAAAAGTGAAGTTTGAAATATGATAGAGGAAACCTACAAATCATAACAAAGCAGGTTTAAAGAACAGATATAGAATTTCTAGAAACAAAAAATAATAATTACTAAAATTAAAAACTCACTGGATTTTGAGTAGCTATATTAATTTCAGAAAAGTAGACTTCAGGGAAAAAAATTTCTAGGATTGAAAAAAGGACACCACATCATGATTTTTAAAAAATCAATTAACCATGAATACAAAAACCCAAATGTGTATAACCTAAAAGCAGAGCTTGAAAAGACTAAGAGCAAAAACGGATGGAACTGAAAATAAAAATACACAAATCTAGGTTGTAGTTGGCAACTTCAACACTCGCCTCTCAACAATAGAACTAACAAAAATTTTCAGGGCCAAAGATTTAACTCAGTGGTTCTGCCACCTGCCTCAAAAGCAGAAGATCCCGAGTTCCATCCCTGGCTCCAAAAAAAAAAAATTCAAAGACAGAGAATTGAACAATATCATTAACATATGGATC